TGCCACTCTCACTTTTCATGCTACTCACTTTGACCATTTGGGTTGGGTCATTTAACCAATTTTATCTGCCCCCATCCTCTATCCTCCTTCCGGTGCACAGGGTAAAATGTTGATCTCTTTCTCCATAAGTTTGTGCATTTCTCTGTTTATGTATGAAGGAATGCATGCTTGTCGGCAAGTCTCGATAAACCCATGAATTCGAGTTTGCTCGGTGTGGACGTGTGACGGGCTCAGTCAAATCAAGGTGAGGTCAAACTATTGGATCGGCTCAGTCCGAACCTGCAAAGGGTCCGAGCAAACGGCTCTTGCCAACTATTCACTTTGGGTCCATATTACAGCAGTAGAAATGCTACAGTTGACAAGCAAATCTATCCGATCCACAACACAGTCATCTTCTCTGCCTTGCATCGACGAGGCCCTCAAGGCACACGTAGACACGTGCTCTCATTGCCATACGTCAAGTCCTCGTTTCTATAAACAACCACAGGCGCACCATTTCACATGGCTTTACTGCAGTTCGTCCACATGAGCCGGGCATGTCCCAATTAATTCTGGTCGAACCGGCTCCTCGACTCCGGCTGGCTCGATTATTTATCATTTACCCATTCATTTAGCCTGGCACAGAAGGACACTGTTTACGCGGGCAAACACATATGCACATAGAAAGCCAACAATGTTGTTCACGTATGTGTGTTTTTCTATTCGTCTTTTCGACCCCCTCGTGTGTGCGAGGGTATTTTGTATCGAGATGCCATTTTCAAGTTTATAAACAGTTATTTTCTTTTATTTGCATTAAATAGATCATTGTGTCTATACTTCCATTCTCTTTTATCCGCCCTATCAACGATGGCGATTTGCTTCTTGTGACAGAACGATTTCCTAATGGCAATAAGGCCTTAGGGCAAGCTGGTCCAAGAACGTGTTTTCTGGCCTGCCTTTGTAGCCTTGGGCACCAGCTCGAAGATGTCCCAGATGGGCCCCGCAAGGAGAACATTTCCAAGGATTCATTGTTCCGTGTTTTTCTTTTGCTGTTCAATGGTGGACTTTCGAAACTGTCGCCGGTAAAGTCCGAGATGATACTGCCTCTATTTCGGCTAAATTCTCCCTTTTGCTGCGTAGAATTGGTCTGATTGTGGCTTCAGAGCGACCTCGAACGACGTCGTCTGCCCTGTTAGTCATGATAGTTGCTTGCATCAAACCAAGGGCTTGGTACATTATGGCACGATGCAGGCGAAACATCGGGGATCGTTTCAAGTCAGCGTTCCGATGCCTGAAATTGTCATGACCACTACGGATGCGGTTGCTGTTTTTCCAGTTCTGCCTGACACCATGACTGGGCTTGCTATACGAGGTCAGACTAAGCATTTTAGAGGTTTTGGGGTCGGGCTCTTGCTAGCGTTAATGCTCCAAAGGTAGCTGTTGGAACCCAATTTTAGGGGCAATTTCTTTGTCCGTCAGACTTCCTGTGATCCTCTTGCCTCATCACAGTAGTTCAACTCGACTGGAATTAACCAGATTTCGTCATAAATCTACAGAATCTGACTCCTACTAGATACTCCTGACCTGCCATGCATCTCCATTCTCATTAGACTTCTCGGAACATCTTCACTTGTCTCTTTGACGAGTTCGTATCTTGGTGCGGAGAATGGCAAGGCTCACTGATGATGCCGAC